TTACCTCTTCCCTCATCAGCTTTTGCCCCGGAAATCCGACTTTCTGATTGCTTCCAAAGTGTTAGCCACGTTTTGGAAAGAGCTTTTGCAGGGGGTAGCATAGAAGATTTGGAAAAGAACAGGCACAGAAAATATCCCTTCTCCTTCTCAATGAAGCCCTGAAAGAAGCTAGACCCTCCAGTTGTGTAGGCTGGCCAAGCTCCTATTTTGAGGTGACTATTGCAACTCTTCTAGGGCGATTGCGATCTGAAGGGCTTGGCTCGGAATCACTTCCAAAATAGTAGCAGGATTTAAGGTCTTGCTGGTAATTCCCCCATCTCTGTATGTGGATCTACCTTGCTCCAGGGAAAACTGCAAGGCTCTTTGAAAGATCTGCATTGGGGATTGTTCTGTGGTCATGCCTGAGTTTAGTTTTTTGCTTGTTTTAATATATACATGCAGAAGGGGTTTGGCACTCCTGTTTCCTTGTCTGGTTTGTCCTGTCTTAGGAAAAAGTTTGGAGAGGGAGAGAGAGAATTGACAACAACAATAATAAAAATAAATCCATGTCTTACAAGTACAAGCGTTTTCTTTACACATCAAAACATAGAAAATGATGATTTACTTAAAAGTCTGGGAATCTTCAATATTTCAGTAGTTAGGGGAAGCTAAGCAAGCGAGTCTGCTTGGAAATTAGATCATTATAGACCTCTATAAAAAAAAAAGATAACATATAGTTATTTTCATTTTAATGCAGGCAGACTGTGAGGTGGAGGAAAACTGATTTGTGAGGCAGCCTGGAGTTGTGTTAGGCAGTAATAGAAAATATTTTAAAATATTTGAAATAATATAATTGCCTTGCAGTAGGAACACATACATGAATAAAAGATGTTATCAGGTGTCCTACCAGGGTAGAACCTCATGCTAATAAATTTAATAGAAATATGATTATTATATACAAAGTTAAATTTGCTAAAAGTAATCAAAAGTGTCTGAATAATTAATATTTAACAACTTTTAAAACAGTAGTGCTTAAGTGCCATAGTTTGTTCTAATCTTCTTCTTCCTACTGAATATCAACAGCTTTCCTACATAAAGTAGAGCACAAATTTCGCCTTTCTCCTTGTAAGTCATTGTATCTGAAGCTGTTAGATGCCATCTATGTTTTATTTTTTCTTCCAGTACACCTTGTTACAGACTTAATAGAAATTCAGTCCAAATGTAGTGAATTTATATCTTCAACTGGCGCGATCACAGGGAGACAGTTGGATAGAAGCAAAATATAGAGCCCCTCAAACTTGTGCGATGCTTGAAGTTGAAGATATTAGTACTAAATATGAGAGACCTTATACAAGAAACTCCCAAATCCTCCTCAAAAACAGAAATACAAAAGAAAAAGCCAACCTTCTGCAGGGCAGTGGTTGTAGGAGACGGGCAACCATCGCTTTTGGTTGGGGCGCAGAGCGGACGTTCCTGCGAGGGTCTCTACCTGCACCCCAGGGAGCAGCTCGCAGATACCTTCAGATTATTTCATCTGCTGTCTCATTTTCATTTGCATGTCCCTGCATGCACGTAAGAAATATAAGTAACGTAAAAAATATAAGTAAAAATCCTAAAGGGACCCACCCTGTGTAAGGCTCCAAAATATAAAGTCAGGTCTGAAATGGTGACCTTTCAGAGAGAACAGTGTTTATTTTCATAACGATTTATCACTTTCTAATATTTTTCAGTGTGAATTCTTCATTTGGGAACCAAGAAGTTGCTAGCTCATTACCTTTTTAGTTTTGACCTCTGTTGCTTTGTTTTGCCCATGCCGTTCTTGTACCCATCCTTGCATCCTCTAAGAATGTGCAATGCTTTGAATTTGTTCATACAGCTGTTGATTCTGATCCAATGTTTCTGTTAGACCGGGGTAGGGTGGGGAGAAGGAGGGGTCTTGTTTAAGAACCAGTTGGTAGCTTTAAGTCAATGATAAATTTAAGTACAAACAGTTGAAAAGCAAATGAGAAGAATATATGGTCCTGCAAAGGAATTTTGGGGAATCACCAGAGAAGATGAAGGTGCTAATGATGGGCATTTTACCTCCTTTCTCTTTACTTAGGTTCTTGCCTGAACATAAATTTGATTTTTAATGGCTATTATTAAAGGAGTTTTTTTTTGTGTGTGTGTGTGTGTGACTAAAGCTACATGAAAAACTGGAGAAGATCTGTTAAGGAACCCTAACTGTTACACTGTGTTATTTTATAGATAGTATTGATTATTCCTCAAGTTCATGTTTTTCTGAAATTTCACATTTTTATTTTAAAGTATTCCAATGGAAAGCCTTTGCAGACCATTTTTTTCCCCTCATTTCTAAAGCAGAGTGAATAGAGGTAACAGTACAGATTCTCGGGCAAAATCTGGCAAGGTTTATGATTGCCAGATAAAATGATAGGTGCTTGTCAGGATGAAGAGGGCTTAAAACGCCTGCCAAAGTTCAGCTCATTTTGTGCTTGGCAGCACTGAAACGCACCTAGCCCTCCAGCAGGGCATCGGAGGCATCCAGGCTTCTGAGCGTCTGAGGGGACTTTTGGCTTTTTTAAAATCATTTTATCTTTCATAAGGGCCACTGGGTCCTCTGGGCCCACAGAACGGTGGGTTCTGGAGCTTCTCAACTGACCCTGGGACACATCCCCTGCTCGTGGGTTTGGGAAGCTTCCTGGAAGCCCGTTTCTGTGCTGAATGATCCCAAATGCCTACCGGGGTTGTTCCTCACTTTTATTCTTAGTTTACTGCAGAATTGTGCACTTCATTTTTCAACTGTGCACTTCATTTTTCAAAGCAATTCAGTATTGATTGATGCACCAGTAATCAGTTCTTCTCTAATTCTGCAGCATATTTTTGTAGTTGGGACCGTTTCTTAAGCGTTAAATCAACACTGTAGAGAACTTAGTTCTGGTTAGTTTTAGAGTGTCAGGGCCAAGGCTACCTTGATTTTCAATTTCATTTTAATTTATTTTATTTTTTTAAGAAATGACTGTGTGTGTGTGGAACTAATTCTACCCATTTTTGCTTGTGCATGTTTTGAGGAAAACGGAGAGCTTGTTTTCTTTCAGTAACTGAATTTTATCCTGAGTTAAATCTCTCATACTTTTCTCCCCTTTAAAACTACTCTTTTTTAATGACATAATCCACAGTGATAGAAAAATTCACAATGCAATGTCATATCTGAGGCAGGCTGGATCAAACTTGTAATTAATTGCTGTTTCTGAATAGACTGGTGTCCTTATTCTCATTCCATAGCTTGGTTCTTCTTTGTGTCTAATAATCCCATCTAGAAAGAAATCTAATTACTAAGATAATTAACACCTTATCACCAAGTGGAGTTCAGACATTCGTACAGTTTATGATTTTTAAAAATATGTAATTTCCCTGTAACTGAATGACAACTGGTGTGATGGAGAAAAAGGGCATATTTGAGCATATCTAGCTTGATGGGACCTTATAATTCATGTCGCTATAGAAACAGGCAAACCTTTATAAAGGATGGTATCACTACTACAGTTGGTAATAAATGCCTTGACTGTTGCCAATAGCGTCATTAAAATGGCTAAAATAACTTCATTATAGCAGTTTTGTCAGGCTTAATTAATGTTCTGTTAATGCTCTGAGAAATGGCAGTCCATGTTATGTGATACTGATTTATAAGGTAATATATTTTGTCCCTTGTAAGCTTACTGTTACTGCACGAAAATATGGGCAATGTGAACAAAGTCATGTTGCAGGAGGCAGCGTTCTTCTCAGTCATTACATTCAAGCTATTTTATTGTTACCTGATCTCAAGTCAAACTTTGTATCTTAATGCTTTTGGGACTTAAAAGATGGAAATTAAGAATTTTTAGCCAATTGTATTTGAGACTTTGGTGTTCTGTGCAATGCAAAGCTCGTTTTTTTCCTCACTTGTACTTATTGAATCAACTCCTTCTTGAAAATGTCTGGTTTTATGCCACTTTCAGTTTGGCATTCAAATTACATGTTTTAACTTCAGTCTAAAACATTGGAGTCTGAATTCATGGAGTCAAAAAAAAAAAAAAAAAAAAAGAATTGAGAGAATTTAGTTGGTTCTTTTGTAATTTTTTCTTAAGGAAGAGGAGAGAGAAGATTCTAATCCCCTAGAAGAGACTATAAATTCCTGTACAGCCAGCTCTATATGTGAAAAGCAGGCCAAGGAATTTGGTTTAATATCTCATTGCTGGTATTTAAATAAAAAATAGGGTTTTTTAAGTGAAAAAAGAAATAATCTCAAAATATATGTATAGCCATGTAGTCTTTGTATCAAGGCCACTGTCTTGGGAGTAATTTTTTTTTTTTGGATGAGGGGATGAGCTCTGCTATCTCACCTAATGCCAACCTTGCTAAATAAAGAGGTGCCTATGCATTTCTAAACCTAAGGTTTAAGGATTTTTTCAATTATGATCTTAAAGCAAGGAATAATCCAATTTTATGGATTGTTGAGTTAGAAATTAAACTGTGAATAAAATTTGCCTTCTTGGCAACTGGCAAAACCAATTTTTTGTCTGAGATTGCTGGGTTCCATGGGACATGAGTCTCCTGGTTTGGATATCCCCTTCTACTTCGATAACAGTGATATAATACGTCAAATATTTTGCAAACTCCAGTGTTTAAGCATCCGAATTTATAAACGGTGTAGATTAGGTAATCAGAATTCAAGAAATTTACAGGTTCTGCTGATAACCTTCAAGTGAATGAAGAGTTGGTTCGGGACATTTTCCTCCTCCTGTTACAATCCCAAATCACTATTTGGCGCACTGTCTCTTCTATTCCTTGTGCTCTCAGCTGAATACCAAAAACATTTTTAATTACCAAACGACAGTGTTAAAATCTCTTACTTATTTTTCCCCAGATTACTGTAGGTCTCAACTTCTGTAGATAAAGTTGAAGGATTATGTGTGCCCTAACTTTTAAAGGAGCAAGACCTTTATCCGTACTAAGTTCAGGATTCCCTTCTGCTTGCCTTACAGAGTGCCAGGAATAACCATTGCTACAGACATCATCTGTGGTTTTCCAGGGGAGACGGATGAAGATTTTCAAGAAACCATGAAACTCGTAGAGCAGTACAGGTTTCCCAGCTTATTCATTAATCAATTTTACCCACGCCCAGGAACCCCTGCTGCAAAAATGCATCAAGTTCCAGCTGCAGTGGTAAGATATGTTTCCTTACAGTGCTCTACAGTGTATTCTGCCAGTGTATTCTGGCAATTTGAAATACAAAAAGCATGTACGTGGAAATGCAGCTCTTCCTGCAGATTTCTGCTACAACTCAGGTAGAGTTTTATAGAAATCCAGTAAGTGCAATCACTGTTGAATTGCCTTTGGAGATTTGTTAGGTCACTGGGTGCTTTTCCATGTGTAAATTACTGCTCAGACTGTTAGGAAAGGCAGAACTGCAGTTTGACTGAGGTCCTGTGTTCTTCCTATCAAGTTTTGCCATTTGAAGTCGTAGGTGACTGCCATCATCTCCACAAATTGTGAATAATTATGCAAGTATTAATAAGAGGGTGGTAGTAATCTTCAATTTAATCATTAAACATCAAATGTCAATGTAACTACTTCCATGAGAACTCCCTGTACCCAGCTTATAAGCACCTTCAACCTGCATGTTTAAGGTTAGTGCTGAATTTGCATTTAATCTTTCAGATACTCTCTTACTGTCTCTCTTTGTATCTTTTAGTGTACGTCTTTTATGGTTATTGACTAACTATTGACTGTATTGCTTGGTATAAATAGTAAGCCAATAATATAAATCACTTTAAATAAATAAATAAATAAAATCCTGTGATCCATGTATCCTGATACACTAACACGAAGCCAAATCAGTACTTGTATCTCTCCACTTGCACATCCAAAAGCTGGAGTCCCTGTTTACTGTCAGTGTATACCATGAATTCTCCGAGGTGTCAGCTGCTGAAAGCATAAAATGCGATTATATTTGGCATCTACAGTTTCTTGTTTAGAGAAGTACAGCTTGAGCAGTGATTGCTCACTTATTGTAGGCCATTTCTTAGCAGAAGATTCTGAATTTTCCGATATAAATAACTGCTGTTAAAATAGCGTATGTAGTGTAACCAAGTCGTTCTGATAGTTTGGTTAGAATGCTTTTTACAAAGTCATGAATGAAAAAAATGTAGAAACTTGTTTTTTATCAGAAGAGTTAAAAATGGGTTTTGTTTCTGTTCTTGCAGTTATCCATTCACAAATTTGTAAGCCCATTATTTCTGTGGGAGGTACAAAGAACTAGGTTAATTGGCTGTCTTTTATATAACTATGTACCATAGGGAAGAGAGTGTATGAAGAGCTAAATTATTAAAAGAACAACACTAGCTGTTTTGTGGTTGGGGAGAAAGGCGATCTGGGAAAATAGGAATGTCGTTTTAGCAAGTTTTACATTCCTTCTTTGTTCTTATTTCTAGTACATATTGCTTTCCATCAATAAGGAGCTTCAAAGGAAATCAGGCCTTTAAGCCAGGGCTGATGAAAATCTGTAATTAATAGAATTTTGTTTCTCACTTTTTTCCCCTTTTTCTCTCTAGTCCTTGGCGAGGGGGAAAGAAAAAGTAAGTTATAAAATCCTTTATTCTTTCATTTATTTCTAGAAACACAAAGTAGCCAATCAATGGAACAGGAAGAGCTTGTGCTGATCTCTTGCATTTTATATTCCTGTTTCCTCTAGATAGAAGCTAAGGGTCTTCCCTGCATTGCCAAGGAAGTATAGGCACTTCCATATGCATTTCTTATCTGGAGTTACTTATAGTTGTGCAAGTTTCTCAGCTTGGAGAAGAAAGCAACTATCTACATCATGCACTCTTACTCCTTCATCTTTAAAAAAATTATTCATGTCCTCTTACTGCTAATGAACTGACATTATTGCTTTTGCATAGGGAAAACCAGCACATGAAATTATATGAGAATGTGCCCGTCTGGTACCTTGTACTGCCAGCCGAAGCTCAGGAGCTGGTTCTTTCCTCTTAACGTACTCCCTGTGGTGGGTGCATGTTTCTATGGATAGAATCTCTCTATAGGAAAAGAATCTTGGCTCTGTTATTTGCACACAGCTACTGAACCAGTGATTAAGCTTTTTCAGCAACTATAGGTCTTGCCTTTTTCCTCTGGACTCATTTGCTCTGTTATTTCAACGTGGCAGAACTTCTGCCATGGAGAGGTACTGTGGTTTGCACAGTTTGCTCCCCTTCATTGGAGACCCAGTTCTCCAAGTCTCGCTCAAGAGAGCCCAAGCAGCACAGCTGGAATAACGTATTTGCCATGTCAAGGTAGCTTTTTTCACCATGACCTTGTATCTTGTAGGGACAGTCTAGAAAGTACCAAGTATTTAGCGCTTTCTTATTCTTAGAGGATAGTTTTGTTGGAAGTGGTAAATGTAAGTGTTGTGTTGTGGGGATTTTTTTGAGGAAATTTTCATTTGGCTTTGTCTTAACAGAGAATATTCAGTAGGTCAACATCATATCTTCCTTGCACATAGATAATTTATCCTTGAAAGCCTTTGAGGCGCTGATCTTTTTCCAAAAGGGCAGATGACACTAACGCAGAAGGACAGATCTGCCACCATAAATTCAGGAAAGGCTGTTAAGGCTGCAGGCCTTTCTTGTTTCTCCTGAAGAAAAAAACACATCTGTGGAGGTTCAGACATTTGTCTGAATGGTCATGCTTATGGGTCATGCTTACCCTAAATACTGTTTTTTGGTTTAGAGAAAATCTACAACAGAGTTAGGCAAAACTAGGCATGACCATGTTTTAATGCTTTCTGTAAGTAATTGCTGTGATTTCCAGAGTCATATACATGGAAAATGAATCACAATTTTTACTACTCCTCCAAAATTCGGGCGGAGTGTCCATCCCTCCTCGCCACACACTTTATCCACCCACCTCTGAATACAGTGTTTCAGACCCGAGTTTGGATGCTCTCTCTCTCCAGCGAGCTGTTGAAAACTCTCCCCATGAGGTGTGTTAAATAGGAAATGCCTGTTTGCAGGTAGTTATTAAAACTGTGGATCTGCCTTTCTCCCTTTCCTTATTGCATTCAACAGTAAAAGTGATACTGATACTGATGATAATGTTATAACTCAAGGGACTGAGTTAAAATGGTAGCATTTTGCATGCAAGCTGTACCATACTCAAAGGTTGTGTCTGGACAAAACTCCTCCTTAATCTAATTCTTCATCTGTTTGGATACTGGACACATTCTCTGTGGAATATTCCCATCATTGCTATAAAGAATGCCGTGCTCAGAAATTGCTTCTTTCTGTTCTAGTTGGGTATATATGTTAGTAAGCAAAGTAAGAAATCAGGATTTAGACATTCTAGTGGGGGTTTCATATTTAGCTGCGTAGCAAAGCCTCAGAATGCTTTAAGTGTAAATGCACAATTTCCTATTTTTCTCCAAAATCGAGGAATCTGCATCATTTTGTATATGTGATCATTTCAGTTTCTCTGTGCTTTGCCCTTCTGAGTGCAGCAGCTGCTTGTCTGGGAGCTTGGGGAGGAGTGGGCAGAGGTTCCCTCACTGTGCTTGAGATTTGGCCGCGGCCCAACCTGAAAGCGTTAGGCGACACGGTCACCTTACAGAACGAGGTGGGCTTCTCTCATGTGGAACCAGAGCGAGGATGTTGTGAAGACAGGCACCGTGCTAAGGCACGGTCTGTGTCCTCTCGCGGGTGAATACAGAGGGCAGCTGTTCTGGGAGAGGTGACGTGGCGGCAGCTTCGCGATTGCGCGGCCCGCGTCTGCAGCGTGCCTGCGATCCGGCCTTGCTACCTGCAACGCTTTCAGTAGACGAAGCTGTTTGTTTGTGTAGCAAAGCAGTTTGCAGGATTATGAGATTTTTCAAGAAGCGTTGTGATCTGTCTAGGTGAAAGGCTCCTTGTTCACTTTGTCTCTCTGTCTCTTTGTCTCTCACTTTATGTACCTGTTCCTCAAATAATTATCTCGCTCCCAGCTAGAAACTTTAATGCCAAGCTGAGCCTTTCCTTTAATTTCACTGGGGTGTCTCCTTGATTTTTTCTCTGCATCTTGTATCAAACACTGTGCTTACTGTGCTGAGCAACTAAACTACGTATCTCATACCTGAGCTGGTATCTAATCTCAAAAATCATTTGTCTCAGAAAGGGAGGTAGAAGTCGGGCGTTTTCTTGTTCAGTACATAGCAGGCAGGAGCCCAAAACTTCCCAAAGCTCGGTCCCCACCAAGCAGTGGAGACTCCTCTCAAGTAGTACCTGCTCTGGGGAAGCCCTGACTGGCAGTGTGAGCTGTATTTTTACTCTGTGGGAGCTTGGCCCTGTCCATCTGGTCGTGGTGGCGATGCTTGGCATGCAAGCTGTCCATCTAGTCTGGGCAAAACTCCTCCTGAATCTACTTCTTCATCTGTTTGGATACTGGACACTCACAAATTGCACCTCCCTGTATTATCACAGCATCATTTAAAGCTGTGGCTGTTTTTATCACTTCTAGGAGCAGTACTTTATGTGCTGAGAGATTATCATGTATCTAGCTGGCATAGTGCCACATGCACCTTCTCAACGTTACCTGCCAGACAGATTGTTCAGAGAGCTATAAATGATCTGGCCACGGAGCTGCTGTGAATTCAGCTCGCAGTGGAGTTTGAAGAATGAGTTAAATTCCACAGTCTGGACTGTGCGGAGTCAGACTAACGGGAAGGCACAGGAATGTTTTGACTATAGTGCCAGGAGCTTTGGCTCTTAAACCCTGCCCTGGTGTAGTTTAGGCTCCCTGGAGAATGGGAGTCGCAGACTTTTGAGGAGTGTGACTGTCCTGCTTGGAAAGGCAAGTCAAAATTTGAAGCTAGACTGGAAAAAAATACCTGGGAAACCACGTTGGTTTTCTACTTCTCTGCTCTGTTCTTACTGCAGAAACTGATTAGAATGAAAATTGCCAATAACGTCCTCATAACCTTCATACAAATTCAGCTTGAAAAAGGGAGTATTTCAAAGTAAACGTGCAGTTATAGATTCAAACCAGGCCATTTTCTTAAGAAAAAGAAGTAAGAGGATCCTGAAAAATAAAGCAGAGAATATATACATACAGGAAGAGACAGAGACAATGTTCTTTCTAAAAAAACCCAAAAATGCTAAAAAATTCTGCAAGAATTATGAAACACCATGAATGTGGTA